TTCCCAACAATCACCGTCACCCACGTGTTGAAATACTCACGCAACTGAGTGATCATCCCTTCCTTGACGCTCCATACATGCGCCCAGTACGCCTTCGATCCTTCCCATCCCTCCGCCACCACTCGGTCACCAACAGGCGTGATGCTCCGAGGCCTGAACTTGAACTCCACGTGTCTCGATTCTCCGGTCAGCGTTCTCATCATGTGCTGGCAATGCCGCGGTCCATGGAACCACCACTCAAGATCCGGAGCCACGAGCTCTGAGGTGGTACTAGTGTCTTTACGTGCCAAGGCCTTGTACAGCGCCTTGACAACTTTTCTGTGTTGGGATCCGATGTTTTCCGCCACTAATAATTCCCCGAGAGTAGTGGTTTCCGTGGAGATTTCATCCTGATCAATCCCCATTTTCAAGAATTTCAGGACGAACTAGGGAAGGCTATAGCTAGCTAAAAGTTGAAGTTTAGTGTTTGTTATGTATTTTGGTTGGTGGTGTAACTTGATGGAGTGCATGGGACATAATTTATATATAGGAGCAGCTGGGGTGGGCACTTGGAGGGTTTTGGTACAACTTACACTATGGCCCAGCTATTCAAATAAAATTTGAAATCAAAATGTTTATTTTCATGACCTGGAGATCCAATAGTCTTGATATTTCCAAATATATATATGTATATATGTATATATATACACTAGGCTCTTGGCACATGTTCACGCATGTGCCAATTGGTTTTCTTTTTTTCTTTTTATTTTATTTTTAAAATTAAGAAAAGATAGCATGGGTAGTTATATTTCATAAAAGTAATATATATATATATTATATAACTAGCTCAATCAGTCAGATACGCGGATGAGTTTGAATCAGTAATTGGTATCGCCGGCTAATTGTGAGTCTTACACTAATCAACGATTACTAATTCACTAACGTTAACATTTATCTATAAACAAGATGTGCATGAGGTCCTTAAAATTGTAGTTTTATCTAATTATATTACTAAAGAATATGCTAATCTTGGGAGGTTATGTATCTGGTGCCAAATACAAACAAAGCTCAAAATTGAGATGCAATAGATGAAAAGTTTAATTAATTAATTTAATAAACAACCCTTCGGGAAAGCCAAGAATGCTAGTATGAAAGCAAATATAATTAAAAGAAATAATTCACGTTCGAAATTAGGTGGGATCAAAGGCGGGAAATTTTCTATACATTATTTGTAAAAGCGATTATGTTTTTTTTATATTATATATTTTAGCTGGCCCTAAACGAATCACGTGTATTTAGAAGAAAACGAAAGGAAAGTAACAAACAATATGCAAATGCATCATCCATGTTAGGTCAAAACTGATGCAAAATTGATCACAGTTATTAGCTGTGCAGTTAACACCTTGAAGCAAAACTAGTGTTCACAAACGTAATCATTTATGTCCCTAAGCTCATTTCTCATGACTTTAAGTGAAAACATTGGAGAGATGTGTCATGTCAATTTATTCACTTTCTTTATAAATAAATTTAACTTTCGGTTTATTTTAATAATGTTGTAGTGATCGGTTACAATAAATAAAATAATGCTTGGAGAAATTATATAATACTAAGGTAATATGGCCACATGGTACATTTTGTACACGTGTTATAATATGAGTGGATGACGTAGTTTATTTTCCTTCTTTTTTGGGAATAGTTCAATAAATATCCACTAATATTATAACACGTGCACCACGTCCGTTAGAGAAGAGCGGCACCATGAAGAGAAAGTAAAGAGACAACCGGGCGAACGTAGCATAACCACCATCTACAACAAGGTTATGCCCACTCACATACTTCGATTCATCACTTGCAAGAAAAAGAGCAGCCTCGGCTATATCTTTAGCTTTTAGAGTTGCACCTTTTAGATTGGCCAGGCCTTTCACAAGCTCTTCTATCTTTTCCACATCTTCCTCACAAGGTGACGATCCAAAATCCATGCCTTCGCCATCTTCCTAGTGACCGCTCCAAGCATCGATTAGCATGGAAGTAGCTACCCCAAAAGGAGAAATACAATTAACTCGAATCCCATATTGACCAAGCTCAGAAGCCGTGTTCTTTGTTAGACCTACAATGGCATGCTTTGAGGCTGTATAAGCATAAGGTCCAACGCCTCCCATGGCACCGGCTACACTAGCTGTGGATATGATGCACCCACTTCTTCTAGGCACCATGACTAGCTGCATGCTTCATCCCCAAGGCAGCTCCTCTAGTATTGACACGCATAATGTGATCAAATTCGCGGGCATCAAAGTTGGTGATGCTCTTGTTTTTCGATTGATTTCCAAGGACTCCGGCATTGTTGAAGAGAATGTCTAATCGGCCATAATGGGAGATGGTTTGGTTGATCAAGTTTTTGATGTCGTCTTCTAAGCTTACATCGCAATGTACATATATCGCTGAAGTGTACAATTCGTTCGCTAAAATGGTACCACTTGTATCCTCAATATCTGCAATGGCTACCTTGGCTCCATTTTTTACGAAGAGCCTCACTGTTGCCAGAGTTGGCCCATGGCATGTGCGGGATGTGCGACCGCACAGGGCCCTCAAAATTTAGGGGCCTCCAAATGTTTTTAAAAGCCCAACATTATATTATATTTGTGGGTATGTGTAGTGTTTTTGTCTGTAAAAGAAAATTGAATGGATGTGATCATGTGAGTATGTGAAAATAGACGAAGGATGATCTTGATTCTAATTGTGGGTTCTAATATAATTAATGCCACATATTTCGGTTTAATTTATGATTTATGAATTTGAAAAATTGTTGTTTTACTTATACATATAGGGCCTAATCAGCTTTCTTCACACAGGGCCTCCATATCTAATGGACCGGCTATGACTGTTGAATCTTCTATCTCTCAATATCACAGTGTCCAAAAAAAAAAAATGATAACGCATTAGAAGTCTTCATCATAATTAGACTTACAATTTGACAAATTTAAAACAAATATCGATTACT